ATATATATATATATATATATATATATACAGGGTGTCCCAGACCACCCGTCTCACCCGATTTTTCGTAAACGCGACATTAAAAAAAAAAATGTTTCAGACAAAAGTTTTGTGACTTCGAGGGGCACATAAGATGGTGTCATTGGTTTGACCTTGGATAGTCGTTTGAAGATCACGTGAAGTTCACCTTTAATTTCTTAAATGGAAACCCCCATTTTTCAATGTATATTCTTGTAGCTTACCTCGAGAGCTTTCCAAAACGTTATAATGAAACGTTTTTTTTAATCAGTACTTTTCGAGCTAATAATGTTAATTATTCTTATAAAGTATGTAAGTGTAATGTTAATTATTATTCATTGACAGGTTTATTTTCTATGGATCTGTCCGTCGCACAAACATTTTGAATGGTTCATTGATGTTCTCAGAGATGTCGAAAGGAAAGACGTTACAGATGTACTTGAAATTCACATTTTCATTACACAATTCTTTCATAAATTTGATTTGCGAACTACTATGCTGGTAAGTAAAATCATACTATCATTTTTATGGAATTAACGATATAATTATATTACGTATTATATTTCTGCCAATTTTAATTGTTCATATTGCATTTCACATATGTAGTACATATGTGAGAATCATTTTCAGAGGCTATCAAAGAAAAGTATATTTACTGGACTCAAAGCTATTAATCACTTTGGTCGGCCGGATATGACGTCATTCCTGAAGTTTGTCCAAAAGAAACACAGCTATGTATGTCGACAATTAATCTTTAGACGTAACATAAAAGCACTAAAAATGTTTAAATAATTATAGCGTCTCTTATGTATTTCTGTCTTATCTGATTATATGTAAATTATGTGATCTCAGAAATATATATAACCATTGAACAATTGTCATTGTTATACAGGTTAGCAAAATAGGAGTATTTAGTTGTGGACCACGTCCTTTGACAAAGAGTGTTATGTCAGCTTGCGATGAAGTCAACAAAGGTAGGCGCTTGCCTTACTTTATTCATCACTTTGAGAATTTTGGCTAGTCGGATATATTGCTCTTCGCTCACACGAATTTGTTTATTATCGACAATAATTATATTATATTTCGATGATTTCTTATAAAATGTACATATTTATGTGCGTTAAGACGCTGATTTTTATTATTTATGAATTGTAAGAAATATTATATTTCTTATTTATGAACAAAAGAGAAAAAAACGTTTATTTCATATTTCTTCTGTTTTATTTTTGTGAATTCAATATGAAGGATTTAATCGTGTCTCTTTCTCTTCCTTCCTTTTTCTCTACATTATTTATTACAATTTACAAATTTTTATTTTCGTAATTGTCACATGAAAGTTTTTAAGATGTATTCTTACAAATAATCCGTGGTAAGTTAGGGGAAAAGGTCTAAATAATGAACAATTTTGTATTTAAAGAAAAAAATTCAACATCGTATCTAAATATTGAATTAATTATTATTTGTTATTAATATTTGTCAGTAATGTTAGTACATGTATCTGAGAAAATTTTTTATCAATTATGAGAACCAGGGACCCAAACGAATGAAAATATTGTTCCAGTTTCGGTCTACTCAAATATTTAATAAAGATTTCGGTTTTCTGGACAATGAAAGTACCGGTACCGTTTAAATTACGGTTTATTTCGGTTCTTGTTTCCTTACTGAAATTTTCATTGAATTAAACTTATATATATATATATATATATATATATATTAGGTGAAGTAAAAAGTTCTGTGCGTTTTCCGTTAGATGTCTTTTGTGAGCTATATCTCACGATGTATACATCGCATCAGGTCATACTATACGTCGATTTAAAGGTGATATTACGCTTCAAAAAAAGTTCTGTGACAGTTTTGTGTTTGGTCAAAGCAGTTGTGTGTTACAGCGTTCCAAAGTGGAGGTAAAAAAAAAAAAATTCGAAACATTCTTCAGTACCACTACGACCAAGGTGAAAAGGCGGAGCAGGCGGCCAAAAAAATTTGTGCTGTTTATGGACCCAATACAGTATCGAATGCAACAGCAAAGCGGTGGTTCCAACGATTCCGTTCTGGTAATATGGACGTCGAAGATAAGGCACGCTCTGGTAGGCCAATCGTCGAAAATGTCGATAAAATCATGGAAATCGTCGAGTCGGACCAGCATGTGAGCACTTATTCCATTGCCCAAGAACTGAAGATTAGCCAGAAAACCGTTTGGAACCATTTGCATAAGGCTGGTTTCAAGAAGAAGCTCGATGTATGGGTGCCACACGAATTGACGCAAAAGAACCTTTTGGACCGAATTGATGCCTGCGATTCTTTGCTGAAACGTAACGAAATCGACCTATTTTTGAAGCGGATGGTAACTGTTGATGAAAAATGGGTCACATACGAGAACAACAGCCGAAAAAGATCGTGGTCCAATCGCGGTGAACCGGCCCAAACGATCGCCAAGCCCAGATTAATGGCCAAGAAAGTTTTGCTGTATGTTTGGTGGGATTGGAAAGGAATCATCCACTATGAGCTGCTCCCATCAGGCCAAACACTCAATTCGGACCTCTATTGTCAACAACTGACCAGATTGAAGCAGGCGATCGACCAGAAGCGGCCAGAATTGGCCAATAGGAAGAGTGTTGTGTTCCATCAAGACAACGCCAGACCGTACACATCATTAACGACGCGCCAGAAGCTCCGAGAGCTTGGATGGGAGATTCTATTGCACCCACCGTATAGTCCAGACTTGGCACCAAACGATTATCACCTTTTCAGGCATTTGCAAAATTTTCTTGATGGTACAAAACTGGCCTCAAAAGAGGCTTGTGAAAATGAGCTGGTCAAGTTTTTTACCAATAGAGATAAGGACTTTTTCAATCGCGGAATTATGAAATTGCCTTCAAAATGGACAAAAATTATCGAACAAAACGGCGCATATTTGATCGAAATCGGATAATCCTAACTATGTTAATTTCATCGTCGAAATAAAGCGAAAAAACGCTCAGAACTTTTTACTTCGCCTAATATATATATATATATATATATTGTCATGTCCTGGATGGTCCGCGATATGCGAAGCGAGAGCGGCTCCGCCATGCTGAGCAGCTAAGCCGGGGAGGGTAGGTTGCGAAAGGTTATACGCGTTGTTATGAAGTAGGATCACGGATTAAGTTGGATTTTAAAGCAAAAACAATAACCAAATAAAATAAAAAGGAAATACACTTTGATACGTCCTGGGTACCTCGGGAACTACGAATTTCTTTCTTTTTATATATGATTGGGAAGCAGACGGACTCCGGTCAAGCGCTATCGTAAAAAGGATAAGATTACGATGGCTCGCCGTTAAACGCGCCGTGTGTTTCCCAACGTGTCTCACATCTCTTCCGCCTTCACGTAAAGCACGTAGTTTTGTTACATCCTGGGTACTACGGAACAACGAATTCCTTTTTTTTATGATTAGGAAACAAACAGATTTGGGTAAGTGCTATTGTAAGAAAGATATGATTATATGCCGTCAAATGCGTCATGAGTTTCCCAACGCGTCCGTGACGTCTTATCTGCCTTCATACATGGTCAGTTGGATTTAGGCCCTTTGATAGGATTAGGCTCTTAGGATTGTTTATAACGTCCTGATAATATTAGGAATTTTCCAGGGTATCCGTTTTCTATTCTTCCATATCCGTTTCCTGTTTTCCACGAAAACTCTTCTAATTGGTGATCGTCATCCGCCACCCCCAAAATCTTCCCTATAAAAACCTTACTCTCTGGCCACTCCACAGTCAGTGTCAATCAGTCAGTCAATAAGTTAGTCAGTCAATCAGTCAGTCAGTCAGTCAGTGTCAGTCAGTCAGTCATTTTTCTTCTTCTTCTTCTTCTGCTGAGTATCAACGAATCCATGTTCTACGTACTATTCACCACAGTCGATTCATCTAAATCGTAAGTCTCTATTTCATATTTAAACATGACTTTTAATCGTTTAAATCCAATCTCCAATCCCACTTCACTCCTTAAAACACAGACATACACTGCGTAATTATTATCTTCATTGTATTATATAATGATATTTTTCTCGCCATACCGATACGTTAAATATTCTTGTCACGTTGAATTCGATTGTATTATTTTAAGTTACATAGATTATTTTTTTTACTTAATCTTACTTCAATCTTCATCGTTTATTTGCATTATTCTAATAATGATGATTTATAAAAGTTTGTTTAATGTTAACCCATATATCTCATTGTTTAACTTTAGTTAACTGATTCATCTTTTAAATATTGTATCTATCACAATGACTTTTCTCATCAATTTTCCACTATTATTAATCCATATGAGAACCAAATTACGAGGTCTGTTCAAAAAGTAACGCGAATTTTGTGTTTTTTCAAAAATTATTTATTTATTCATAAATATCTATTTTGTCTTCTTCAAAGTAATCCCCATCAGATATTATACACTTGTGCCAACGTTTTTTCCAATCCTCGAAGCACTTCAAAAAATTATTTTTTGTGATCTTGTTCAGCTCCTTCTTCGATGCCGTCTTTATCTCCTCAATCGTAGCGTAGCGTCGTCCTTTCATGTGCCTCTTCAGTTTCGGGAACAAGAAAAAGTTACAGGGGGCCAGGTCTGGGAATACGGTGGCTGCGGCATCATTAGTGTGTAGTTTTTGGCCAAAAATTCGCGCACAAGCAACGATGTGTGAGCAGGAGCGTTATCGGCGACCCGTCTGATGCCCAAATCATTAGTAAAAATCGAATGGCACTAGCCAATCGATATGTTTAGGTCCTCAGCAACTTCTCTAACAGTGATTCGACGATTGGCCAATACTATTTTCTTCACTTCATCAATGTTTTTGTTTGCTGTTGAAGTGCTCGGGCGTCCGGCACGCTCTTCGTCGTTCACATCTTCTCGGCCGTCTGAGAACATTTTGTACCACCGATAAACGTTGCTTCGGTCCAAGGTGACTTCACCATATGCCACACTCAACATTCGGAATGCGTCCGCGCATATAATTTTGTTAGATTCTTTGATCCATTTTTTGGAATAGGCAAAAATCGAAGACGAGCCAAAACTCGTCCAAGCAAAACAGCTGTCAAAGATAAACTGAATATTCAAAATGGCCGAACTTGTCGGCATAAGCGATGGACATGAGTATCAACATAACGTCACAAAAAAATCGAAAATCGAATATACGTAACCCGCGGAAATTCAAAATTCGCGATACTTTTTGAACAGACCTCGTATGTTATTAGTATAATTAATAAATTGTTTTATTCAAAATACTCTAAATTTAACCAAGTTGTTAAAATTATTCATTTATTTCCTTTCAATGAATTAAACCTGAATTCCTCTTTCAACACTCTCATATGGTCCTATCCCAGGTAAAGAGATTAAGTTCTTTGATCTAAATAAAGACCACTTAACGTACGTTTTGCGATTGGAGTAAATGGGTCCCTCCGGACCTTGACCTGATCCGCAGATCTGCCAATACGTTTAGGCCTCGCGTGTGCGCGAGTATGCGATGTTTGTTGCATACATCCTCTTCCACGACGTAACAACTTTATTATTTTGGTTTTGCAATTTCGATAATTTTTATTTGAGATGGCAACAGTTTCTACGCTACGTCACGACGAGATGAAATAAAGTTTACCGGGACCGTATGGATTCGGGGATATTGGTTTTTATTGTAATAGTTTTATACAGATAACTTACGTTCGACGTCTAATCTGGAATAATACATTGAGAAAAGTACGTCGCCTTTAAAAGAAAGAGGGAAACAAACGCCCTGACTAAGACAACCCAAGTTGGCGGCAGGAGGAGATTTTGTCCCCGTAAAGCAGGCGATTCGCACGATATATAGCAGAGACTGACAAGACCGACAAAATCGAAAGAACCGCGAAGGCTGAGTAAAATTTGACTTGAAAAGTCGCGAGGATTGAATTGGTTAAGAACAGCAACTGCACTGATCTGACTCCCAATTACCACGTGTATGCATAAGTTTTTTCCGGTTTAACTAAGAGATGGCGCAAGCGAAAAGTACGCAGCGTATTAATTTTACACATACGTCATTTTGTTCGTCTGATATTTAACACTACAAACACACACAAGTTGAGTCCGCCAAAAACTATCGTCTTTGTTTTATCGTTCAGTGATCATGTCGAGTTTTATGCCTGAAAAAGAACATTTGCGGCACGCATTGCTTTTCTTATTTAATCAAAAGAAAAAGGCTGTTGAAAGTCATCGTTTGCTGGTAGAAACATATGGTGAACACGCTCCATCGATTAGAACATGTGAGACATGGTTTCGACAATTTAAAAATGGTGATTTCAATGTGAAAGACAGTGAGCGCTCTGGTAGACCACAAAAATGCGAAGACGAGCAATTGCAGGAGTTATTGGATGATGACCCAACTCAAACTCAACGGCAATTAGCAGAAGCATTACATGTATCACAAGAAACAATCAGCAGACGTTTACGAGCAATGGGAAAGATCAATAAACTCGGTAAATGGGTCCCACACAATTTGAATGAACGTCAAATGGAAAATCGCAAAGTCACTTGTGAAATGCTGCTTCAACGCCACGAAAGGAAATCATTTTTGTATCGAATTGTGACGGGTGACGAAAAATGGATTTATTTTGAAAACCCGAAGCGGAAAAAATCGTGGCTTTCACCTGGCGAAGCCGGTCCATCAACACCAAGGCCAAATCGCTTCGGCAAGAAGACCATGCTCTGTGTCTGGTGGGACCAGAGCGGTATTGTGTATTATGAACTCTTGAAGCCCGGCGAAACCGTTAATACACAACGCTATCGCCAACAAATGATTAATTTAAACCACGCATTAATCGAAAGACGACCGGAATGGGCCAGAAGACATGGCAAAGTGATTTTGTTATACTACAATGCGCCGTCTCACACAGCAAAACCAATGAAAGACAGCTTGAAATCGCATGGATGGGACATCCTTCCGCATCCGCCGTACTCCCCAGACCTGGCGCCATCTGACTATCACCTCTTCGCATCAATGGGGCACGCGCTCGCAGAGCAGCACTTCAGCAATTTCGAGGAAGTTGAAAAATGGCTCGACGAATGGTTTGCCGCAAAAGACAAGCAGTTTTTCTGGCATGGTATTCATAAATTACCTGAAAGATGGGCGAAATGTGTAGAAGCCGATNATTGAATTTAAAAAAATTAATTTCCATTGAAAATTACGTGTTTTTTTTCTTACCAAAAAACCGGAAAAAATTTATGCATACACCTGATAAAAACTGGAGAAAAACTGACTGCAACTAAGAACCTCGAAGATTGAAAAGAAAACCGATTGCCTGAAAATTGAAATGAACTACGGCAGGTGCTGAACTAACTCCCGACTGAAACTAGATGAAAAATTGACTGAAACGGACTGAAACTGAAAACTGCAAAGACTAACTGCAGCGAAGATGAAGCTCTTAATTATAACTGTTATTTCTGTCTCTCTTCTTTTTTCGTAGTCTCAATGGTAAGCATTTTTCGATGGGAACACCAACGAACTTATCGTTCCATGGTGTTCTCAGGTTGTTGCGATATGGCGAGAGATGGATCATGCACATCCGTTCTCACGGAGCGGAAAATTTTAGTTTATTTAAGTCGCATATTATAACATAAGTTTAGAAGACGCGGAGTAAAGTGACGCGGATCCTGGATTTTCGCGCGCGGTGTCACAAGACACATCTAAGGATTGTTTTATAGATTACGGGAACTAAGCCACGAGTGTAAGGGTGCAGTGTCAGATGCTTGCAACCAGGTATCTGCAGTGCAAAATATTCGCACACTGATAAGTCACGAAGCCTTCAAGGCTAATCCTTGAAGAGATATTTATTTTGCTTAAAATTCGGCGGTCAGTCTGCATAAAGATACTTCCGCTATTCGGCGGCAGTGACTGCTGGATCTAATTTAATTGAATTTAATAAGCTCGAATAAAAGGGTAAGTAAAAAGTGCGAATTATTTTAATGAAGCAAAGTATAACAAACGATACGGTTGGGACTACAACTAACATTATAATTAATTTTGGAAGCAGAACGGCCCCGGTACAATGTCAACAAGCGATTACAGGGATGAAAGAAGAGTGTAGGGAAGAGAGAGCAAAAAAGAAGAACGATAAAAAAAGAGAGGAGGATGGAGTTCTGGGGTACCTCGAGACGTAACACCCCAGTCCTTTAGAAGAGCATAATAAGGCGAAGCGGTTGAGGCTTGATGAATAACATTCATTGTTGCATGGTAATTGTGAGGCATTTGCTAAGCCGTACCTCAATTCGGTTCAGCAAGTTGTCCACGGCGTCAAGCCCAGATGTTAATACAGGGTAAGTATTCGGATGGAGAGCTGTTTGTTTCTTCCGTACTGGCGGCCGTCTAGAGTCCGGTTCTAGTTCCGCCTTGTCCTGTGTGGCTGCATATCATTTCGGACCGCAGCGATCGTGTTGTTAGAGCTTATTGCTTGCGAGGAGGTGTTCCCTGGAGATGGTGTCTGCCCCGCCGGCGGAGTGGGCAGCGGACTTCTTCTCAGATGGAGCAGCAGGTTTGTTATGGACGAGAACAAAGCTCCTAAGAAGTGCAGGTTTCATCCATAAACAGAATGAAATGCCTAACTGTGCATGAGTATATCGACTATCAGTTTGATTCCTCTGACCAAGAGCCATACCCCAATAAATCCAGCACTGACAGTCCTGAATTGAAGGAATCTACCGAACAGTCTCTCAGCGATGGATTGAATAATTAGGTTTAGCGCATCATCACCCAGGAGATTGGTGATAGAAATACTACTATTAGATATTCTGTGGCCTGTTGCAGCTTTAGCGATATTGTGTATGAGCGTCGTCTGTTCCACAGGGAACATGATGTGGTCGCGAAGTTTCGTCAGATCTTCATTGGAATAGATACCGCTGTCCGCAAAATGTTCTGCGTCTACATATCTCCAAGTGGGACGAGTGAGCGGTTTGTGGTTCTTCGGAGGTATCACGGCTGCAAGTTTAGTGTAAAACTTACTCATCCGCTAGCCATGGCGCTATACATGGTGGGTAGGATAGGGTTGCAATCCATCGGCGTCCCGGTTCTTTAGCATACGGGTTCTAGGTGCTAGGAAAATAGGTTGATTAAAAAAGGTGGCAGGGAGGTAGCAGGTATCGGTAGATCTGCTGGTGACATCGACGAGGATACATTTGATTATATGCGCGACTTTGCTTGCAATAGTAGCAATGTATCCGACTTCTTTCATTAAATGATACACGAAGAGGTCGGGCTGGCTGGCGACCAAGGCTATAGCATTCCTTAGTACTTGTCGTTCTAATTGACATTTCTGATTAATTACATTCTGGTATAGTGCTCGAATTTGTGTTTTGAGATACTTTTCGACATAAACGAATTTGGAATTTAGCTAAAGGAAAGAGTCTAGGTTTTTAATTAGGATATGTTCTCTTTTGGCGAAAGGATTGTCTCTAGATGTTTTTACAATGATTAATTTTGGATGCTTGGTTTGTACTAAGGTATAGCTGCATTGAGCACGAGCGTGGCGCAGCAGACAGCGCATTACCGACCGAGCAGCCATAAGAGTCTCATGAGACATAAAAGCTGAGAAAGTATAAAAGTGCAGAGTACAAAAATTAGAAGCCAAGCTGAAAATCTACCAAGCGAGGTGAATACCACAGACAATACATAGTTATCCAAGATAAATAATGAGACAGGCGAAAGCCTAGCCTCAGAGAAAATTACACCGAAATGGGAACTAACCTCAAACCTTCACACATATAAAGGATCGAAAGGTAGAAAGCTTGAAAAGCTGTTGAAGAATCCACACTCACAGGAGAAAATAACGGCCTTTTTAAGCAAAACGCAAACAATGACGAAGCATAGAAGAGCACTAGAACAACCCAACATAAAGACCCTTCATATGAAGAAAAAGAACACAACGACAGAAACAGGTGAGACAAACACAGGAGGGAGCATAGCAACAAGGACCCAAGAAGAAGCACACAAAGAAGAAATCAACAACCTAAAAGCAGAAATAGAATAGTTAAGAAACATCATCGACAAGTTACAAAATCAGACACAAAGCAAGCTCCCCGCAACCGCCACAACCGAGAGTCAACCGGAAAAGACGAAGTACAGCCAACTCGAACAAGAAGAAAATATGCAAACAGACAAAGAAGAACTATTCATACAAACACTAAGCAGAGAAAACAAAAGAAAAAGAGAGTTGAACAACACAATATTAACACAGGAGGAAGAAAGCATAGACTACAAGAAAAGGACAGCACAAATGCAGCAGAGCAAGAGCCCAGCCCAAGTAACGAAGACACCTGGAATAAAAAAGAACAGCAACACGACAGTAAGCAGCGCCAACGAAAGTAGCAGCAAGACAAAACCACCGCCAATCAATGTTCTATCTCAAGACCCGAAAGACACTGTTAAAGCAATTAAAAGTAAGTTAAATATAAGTAACTTTCACATCAAAAGGATAAATAGCAACAAACATACAATCATATTAGAAAACCTAAACGATTTTAAAAGAGTTAAGGAACTATTAACATTAACAAACATACATTTGTACACATACACGGTAAAATCAGAAAAAAACCATATGTTTCTTCTTAAAGGACTAAACCAATCTTACTCAGAGGATGAAGTTTATAAAGAGCTAACCAAATACAACAATGAAAATATCCAATTTCTTAAAACATGCAAATTCGCAACAAAAAGATCAATTCAAAATAAAATCAATCTACCCATATTCTTAGTCACACTTGAAGCCAACAGCAACCTAAACCTACTCAAAAACATCAAAATTATCGATTACAACATCATCCACTGGGAAAAATTGAAAAAAAAAGAAAACACACAATGCAAAAAATGTCAAAGAATAGGGCACACTGCGGCAAATTGTAACATGGAGTACCGATGTGTAAAATGCAACATCAGACACAACCCAGGCGAATGCAGCAATAATATTAATAGCACAGCGGCCTTATACTGCGTAAACTGTAAAGGTTTCGGACACCCAGCATCATATAGAGGCTGCCCCAGAATAAAAGAATTAAAACAATTTATCGAAAATAAAAAAATAAGTAAACAAATAAACAGAATAAACACAGACCCAAGAATACAAAACAACATAACATACGCACAAATTACAAGAACACCACATTCAGAACAAAAACAAGACTGCACACGACAACATTATAATACACAAATACCATGGACACAAACGCCTTTCACTAGAGACGCACAAAAAAAAGAAATTCATCCCGACATAACACAGCAAATACTTCAAAAAATAGAAAATCTAGACAAGACAGTCATGATACTAATCCAAAACACCAACAGGATCAACTCAATACTGAAAATATGGCCATTCCCAAACGATAATGAATAAAAAAAACATATCAGGACACAAAAGAAAAAACGGCGCTCAGAATCATTGCACTCAACGTACACTCGATCATCAGTAACCGCAAAAGAATTAGCCTTTTGAACTTAATGAAAAAACACAAACCAGATTTAATGCTTCTAGGTGAAACGATACTCAACGAGAAACACACAGTGTACTTCAAAGATTACGACATAATCAGAAACGACAGGATAAACGCAAAGATGGGCGGAGGTACTGCCATAATCTGTAAAAAAGGCCTAACTCACAAGAGGATAGAACTCAGGAATGCACCCCAAGTCCTAGAATCGACGATAATTCAAATTGACATGGATAACGCACAGAAGTTATACATAATCGCAGCTTACGCGAGCAGTAAAGGTAACAAAAACTTTATAAAAAAAGTTCAGAACATTTTTGATGAACTGAACCTTAAGGACAATAAAAACTACTACATCCTAGCAGAAGAACTAAACGCGAAACACATAAGCTGGGCTAACAGCAGAAACGATGATAGAGGAAACAGCCTAAAAGCGTGGCTAACGGACAACGAGATCGACAAAAGAATCACCACACTACATTCGGAGAAACCATCATACCCGAAAAACAGCTCGTACTTAGACTTAGTCCTCGCCGATGCGAGAATAGAATTCTCAAACGAGTACGACAATATGATAAAAACAATCCGAGCAGATAGCGACCATAAGGCCCTTACTTTTGACGTAGAAATAGAAGCGAAAATACGAATTGACTGCGGTAACACAAATGACAATAAAATAAACTATAACAGAACTAACTGGGATAAATTCAAAAAAATATTCAATAAATCGAATATAAAAATTCCCTCAAACAGAAACCTGACAATAGAAGAAACCGAAAATAATTTAGGAAAACTAGAAAACATTATACTAGAAGCCATAAGAACAGCAACACCAAAAACAAAAAGCACAAACTCAACTGACAAATACATGAATAACGAAATCAAAAAAACTGCAAAAAGTAAAAAACAAAACTTTATCAGAGATTCATAAAATTAAAAGAACATTCAACACGGACAAACAAACGTTACAAACCATAGCACAACTCAGAACACAAATGAAAGTAATAAGAGAAAGTCAACGAAACCTCATAAACGAAGCAGTAAATATTGGCTCAACAGAATTAAAAACATCAAACATAACGACACAAAAAAAAAATGTTCCTAGAAATCAATAAGTTGTTTAGAAAAAAAGAAAGGATAGAACTTCCCAATCTAAAAATAAAACAAGGAAACACAAATCTATTAACAATAGCTGGAATTGACCACACCCCAATCCCGATAGACACCGATAAAAACTTCAACGTCAAAGACCTCACACAGAAATTAAACGTGACGGGAGCGCACTACTCAGAAATGTGCAATAAAACAGTAAAACTAGGCAACGCGCCCCTAAGTAACATAGTCAAAAGAGAATGCGACAAAATCCGCACAAAAATCAAAGAAGATATGGAGAAAAACAACACACTATGCCAATTCTCAAATGCAAACACAGCACAGAAACCTGAGACAAATAAGTCAGAAACAAAATACTTTACAAATCCCTCCAGAGTAGAATCCCTCTTCAAAAACTTAAACAATAAAACCTCGTCAGGACACGACAACATCCCTAACATAACACTGAAAAATATAACAAGAGAAATAGCCCTAAACTACACAATCTTATTCAACAACCTGACAAACCACAACCATTTTCCAGACAGAATTTCCTATTAAAATAATATTATTATGCACTATTTTTCTATTTATTATCTATGAAAGAATATTATTTCCATTATAAACCTTCCCAAAGTTTTATAATACTTGCTTCACTTCGAAAGTATAGCTTAGTTGACGTAGTGAAAGTAATTTAGTGAAAGTAACTCAGAGAAAGTAGCTTTACAACTATTATAATATCATCTACTGGATACCACCTAACAGTTTACGTTCTTCCGAAAAATTTATAACAGGAAATCGCTATTTTTCCAGAAGAACGGTATATATATCTAGACCGATCATTCATATAGATTCCATACGGAAAACATAAAGTTAACGTGTAACAAAAAGAAAATATAGTCGAGTATTTGTTTCTTTCTCTCAATTGTTCAGTAACCTTTATTAGTTTATATGTTCTGTTAAGAGAAGCTGTTAATAAAAATAAAAAGGT